AAAAAGTCAATATCAAGCAAACCTCAAAAATGTCTCACCCTCTTTGACACATCTGCTGCCTGTGCAGCTGCCTCGAACTCCACGAACTGTTAACCGGCGAACGAGGAAAAATCACCGTCGGCAATCTCATACTCTCCTCCACATGAGGAAAATCGACCATATAGTGAAGCCCACGGCTCTCGTGCCTCGCGAGTGCACTGCTAACCACCAATTTCGCACAGCAGAACAAATTCCTCATCTCGCAAGCCTCGAGCCCCACCATTGTCGGCTCCCACCCTTGCTGAAACAAATAACTCTCCCATTCCAACTCCAAACCCCCAATCTTCTTCTCGGCCATCTCAAGCCTAGCAGTCGACCGAACAATCCCCACATAATCCCACATCACCTTCTGAAGATCCTTCCTAACTTCCCTCGTCCGGCAAACAATTTTCCTCAATATAGTTTCCCCAAGCGATCTCGGCATAACGGGCCGGGCCCACCACTGGGAAGAAGCAGCCCTGTGTTCGGCCCGCAAACTATTCACGTGCTCGATCGACGGCCCAACAGCCCGCCTGGCAAAAACGAGGGCCTCGAGAAGTGAATTGCTCGCGAGGCGATTTGCGCCGTGAAGGCCCGTGCATGCCACCTCACCGGCCACGTAGAGTCCAATTACGTTAGTTTCTCCTTGAAGCCCGGCCCGAACACCGCCACACATGTAGTGGGCCGCAGGGACAACTGGAATGGGCTGGCGGGTAATGTCGAGCCCATAACGAAGGCACTCGGAAGCTATGTTTGGGAAGTGGGATAGGATTTGGTGGTTGGGCTTGTGGGTTATGTCGAGGAGAACGTATTTCTCGTTGTGTTTTTTGAGCTGATCGTCTATGCTGCGGGCCACGATGTCCCGTGGGGCAAGCTCGGCTCGCTCGTCGTATATAGGCATGAACCTCTCGTTGGCTAAGTTGAATAGGAGGCCTCCATCTCCTCTTACGGCCTCGGTTATCAGAAAGGCGTTTTCACGGGGCTTTGTTGGTTTAATCGGGAGTCCATCATCGGCTAAAGCAGTCGGGTGGAACTGCACGAACCTGGTGATGTAATTCGGCGGATATATTATTACTAAATAAAGATACTTGCACATTCGGATTGCCTGACTAAGGGCGTGCTTGGATGCAAGTATGAGAAAGATGATATGAAGTGAAGGTTACTTGAAATTATGTAAGTGAATGAATAGTGAATAAAGTTTATGTGATGTGTAAGAATGATTGGTTGATATTATTTAATTATATTGATAATATTGATGACAGTTGAGTTGAGTTAGATTTTGAGTATGAATTGAACTTTTTAATAAACAAACATACCCTTAAATGAATCAAACTATTTAATTATTTTCAAATGCCATTTAATGGAGAAGTAGGACTGTAATTAATTTTCCTTGTGTTTATGACAAGCCCTCAAAGTCAACAGCCAGTTAGTGCATTTAATAGTGAGCAGAGAAGTTTAGTTCATGACTTAGTATAGCCAGAGTAGCTTACTCCATGTTAGATATTACAGCTTCGGCTCGGTGTGCCATAGCCATCCCATCCCCAGTTGCAACCTATAGAACACATTAACAAAGTCTAAAATAAAAACTGTATGAAATAAAAGTATTAGATTAATTGTTTTTTTTGTTAGACACAAGCACGTCGACTCGTATGGCTCAATGACTGCCAGCAAACCCCAAATGGAAAGTGCCGAGGACACGACTAAACTGTTCACACGTATATACCTAGTAATTGTATATCACAATAATTAGGAGTACACAGAGTAGCAACATAAAATGAAAATCGATAGTATTTCACTTTGACAATATACGTCAGAATTTTGAGAAAGATGAAGAAAATGATGTTTTACCGGAGGATTTGTAGTGCTCGGGTAGATATGCCCAGCCCCTCCTGATGCAAGTAAGGTTACCTTTGAAATGAATCTCACGACCTACAAGTTCAAAAGATAGGAAGCAGGGAAACAAATATTATACCTGTTAGTGAGCAAGCCTCGAGCAAATCCACATAAACAACATGAACCTGATCCACTTTGTTACCTCATTTGTCTCTGTATTCAAAGTGTCAACACCATGACAAACTGTATCAGAACCATCCTGCAAGCCACCAATGAAAAACTATGTTAGAGAACACTACTCAAGCACATGATATATAACTGAAACTTTGGATTTCACATCAAAGGTCTAACTCCTTTTTGTTTTATCATGTTGAATTCCTTCAAATATCAACATACAACAGGATCCTCTGCCAGTAATAAACCAACTGAACGCATCTCAATTGTGACGTCAAACTAAAGTTTAAAAAAGCACATAAACACACAGTTGCACACTAAAAGGACTTAACCGAACCTGTGAAGTCAGCAAATCTATTGCAAAATGGTGCTCAAAGACGGAAATATTAGGATCCTTCCTGACAGCCTCTAACAGCGCTCTCTCTATTTCTCGGCCAGTCATATCAGCAGCGTGTACAATCCTTCGATGAGAGTGTCCCCCTTCCCTTGCCAAGTGCAGATTCCCATCCTCCCCATGATCAAATGAAGCCCCCATTGCAATCAATTCCCTTATTCTCTCAGGTCCTTCAGTGCACACAATCTGTTAAAATGTAATAACCCTTTGTGATCAAGAAGTTGAAAAATAAACAATCTGCTAAATGTAATAACCCTATGTGATTAAGGAATTGAAATATAAACCCATCACATTTATAACCAGTATACTATAGATTTTAGATAAAAGAAAATTATATTGGAAACTTCCACTGCCAATCCCCCAACTCCCATTTTTTTCTCCCTCTTTTTTCTCTTTTTATGACGAGCACCAACAATTCTTTCAACTACTTTTGAAGCCCAGAATATGGTATAAGAAGTCTGAAGCAGAATTCGATTAGTGACATACTCGAACGGTCTCCTCATCACATAGATAAGCACCCGCGACCATTGTGTCCCGCACGTGACTCTCGACGGAGTCTGATGGGCAGAAAACGGCACTCACGCCACCTTGTGCATAGTTGGTGTTGCTCTCATGGGGCTCCGCCTTTGTAATGACTGCAACAGTTCCATGTTTTGCAACCTCAAGAGCATAACGGAGGCCAGCCACCCCACTTCCAATCACAGCAAAATCAAAATATTTGCTATAATCATCTCTCAAGCTTGAAGCTCTGATTTGCTTATGATTTTCCTTAGTTTGAGAGTGCAAATATTTATTCTTGTTGATGTGTAAGCTTTTAGAGACGCCATGAGTCCTGAGGAAGTAATCATCAATTATCAGAGGCAGAGTTGAGGGAAAAGAATCCTAGTCACAGCTGTAGTTTCATGGTCATGTCACAAGGAGGCTAGGTTCAACTCCACAATGTTGACAATTAGAGACCATGCCATTTAAACAGCAAATAGAGCATGTAGAAAGTGACTGTTTTGGCTGAGTGAACACGAAGCCCAAAAATTTAACAGAGGAAAAAAAGGAATAACAGATACACAAATAAGTTCATTCAGATTTTTGTCCACTTTGAGCAGACAGCAGGATGGAAAGAGGATTGTGTGCATTAGTACATCAACATTTTCTATGTGGCATAAAGGGAGTCATCTCACATTTTTTGCCCCTCAAACTCGGAGAAGTACTCATTGTCTAACATCAAATTGACCGATGCAATGAATACTTCTCAGCGAGCGAAACAAAGTGTAACGGAAATCTTTTACCCTTATTGCACAGAGAAAATCTAACTTCATACAAATCTCCCAACAGAAATGATTTCGTATAATGGCCTACATGTAGCATACCGTGTAACAAGCAACAACACCACTGAAGGGGAAAGTCAGATTAGGTTCCCTAGACAAACTACAACTGAACCACATAAAATTGCCAGATTTTAGCCAATATAATATACCATGAGATCTCTTTCTGCATGCAGTTCGAGACTGCTATACTGCGAACCATATAAGCCCACCGGCAGCCCTGTCCCCTGTAAATTGTGTCTTTAAAGTGTAGGCCGCTGCCTGCGGCGACACTTGTTGCCATCAATCAATCTGCCAAACTGAGGTGAATTTTGATCTCTGAAATATACGGAACAAACTGTTCTTACAAACTTTATGCAAAAGTATACAAACAAATAGAAAATTGTGAAGGAAACATATTTTTGTTAACAAATTCCAGTGAACCAGGATTCAACATATGGTTTTAATTTTATTTAAATCTTACACAGTTACATGCACTGAACCATTTACACATATACACTCCATTGCCAAAACTCAGCAACATAACTGAATGTAAAATGGAGCTGATTAATCAGATCTAGGTAGAGAAGATATATTTCAAAAGAAAAAAATGATAAAAAAATATGAAAAGTAACAAGAAGGAACTGACAGCAAATTCAAAATCATATAAAAAATTAAAGATGAATCACACATTCCTAAGCAGCTGCAACCATAATATGCACCTAGGGAAAAAAAGCAGACGCCTCCACAGCCAATCACATCACGCAGAATTCAAACACACACACACACACACTAAACAATAAAGAGAAAGAAAACACAGTTCCCCCAAAAACGAAAGCGAAAATCAAAACGAAAACATGCGCAGGGGTCGAATGAATATGAACATACGCAATCGATCTTCCAATGCTTGGTGACGGCGTCTGACAAAAATGAAGGCTAGCAGATAACAAAACGATGATAATTTCTCCGATTCGTGGTCTCCTTTCCTCTATTTTGTACCTTTTATTTCAGAATTTCCAGCTGCTCAATCGAATCCGACGAAGGTAAGCGTGAATTTAGAGAATCTCTATATATGGTAAA